TCAGGTGACTGAGCCATGTTCACAGTCAGAAGGAAAGAAAAGGCAGCAAACAGGCAAACTCTGGGCTGCTGCAGTGGAGCGGGCAAATTCGGCGAGGCAGCAAGCAGTGGCGCACCCACACGCCCGGATCTGGCCTTTCCAGAATCAGCTGGTGCTAATTTTCAACAGATTTTTAAATTGCAACTTCAAATGCCTTTTCTCTTTTTTCCTTTTGCACCTGGGACCACTGCTGGCAGTGGCATGGTGTGAAGGCCCAGCAAGCTGCACTGCCACCGGGCTGAACTTTGGGCAGCATCCCCTTCTGTGTCCGATGGGGAGAAGCTGGAAAGCAGCTGAAAAACATGAGACAACAGGCCAATGTCCTGTCGTTGTGAAGGATTCAAGTGACAGAGAGACAAAACAGAACTTCCAGCAACTTGTAGCTTGACTTCTGGGATTGGATGCAACTTCAGCCCAGGTGAGCCAAAAAATCATCCCACAGACCCCTTCCCTAAGGCTGCAGAGGGAGGAACGACACCATTGATGCCTCAGGATCTCCATGGGAACCGATCAGAGAGGGGGAAAGTGAAAGAGGAGGGCAGAGAGCAGACCAGAGCGTGCAGGAACAGGGAGGGGGGGGAGGTGGTGGGCCGAGGGGCGCAAGGAAGCCATCCGTGTGCCCGAGATGCCCCGTGGTGAGCAATAACAGGCTTGCTGCAGAAAACAAAGCAATGCATAGAGCGTGGAGGGGGGACACACGGTGTGTTTCCTCGCAGCACATTAAAGCCGGCAGCAATATCGGCAGAGTGAGCTTTTGGGGAAAAGCGGAAGCAGGCAAGAAGAGCTCGCTCTTCCCACAGGTTTTGTGGGGAGGAGAACAGGGTGAGCGAAGCAGGGAGAGAAGGGATGCTTCTTCACATCCATCCTCCTCCTGCCCTGCAGCCCCCTGGGGAACCTGCAGTAGGACAATACCCTCAGCAGTGTCACCTCCTTCTCCTTCTCTCCAGCCACGGCCTGAGGGCTTCTGGGCAGCAGTGGCTTTCACGCAGGCTGGGGTGAGTGACCTGGGGTGCCGGTGCCCATTGTGTCCACCCAAAGCCTCATCGTTCGCCACTGAGGGGCTCATCCCTTCGCTGGGTGGCAAAGCAGCTGGTGTAGGGCAGAAGCACGGGAGTTACTGGTGGGCCAAGGAAAGGACCAGCAGGGGGCTGGCCAAGCGCAGCTCACAGGCATCAGCTCTGCACCTTGCAAGCACCTCTCTGTTGTCCCACAACAGCACCATGTTCCTGCTGCCCAAGAAAAATGTGGGAGTGTTCCCGCACTGCCGAGGGGAAGAGCTTGTGCTCTCCACTGAGGGAAGTTCCCACCCACTGGGACATCTCCTTGCCTGCTTGCTGATGGGAGCAGTGTCTTGGGCAAGCACAGGCAGCGACTTAGTCTCGGTCTCTGCCTCCGCCCATCTCTTCTCTGAACTGTCTTCCCACCCGCTCTTCTTGGCTGTTCCTTTTTAGCAGAGGGAACGAAACACACGGTGGTGTCAGTCAGGGAAGTGGTGTTGCTGCCATCCTCTGCCCTGAGGCCTTTGGAGGAAGGAGTTTTCCAGAAACAGTGCAGATCTCCCCACACGAGTGCTCCCCTCCTGGAAGCTCAGCTTTCTGCCTGCACTGGCCTTGCTCCCGCTTACACAACACCGGTGCTCCTTGGCTTCATCTTCACATCAGCTTTGCTGAGTATTCTGTGGCCCCAGACCACTTTGGGATGCCATTAGCTTCTTCATTAGGAGCTAGTGGGAGAGGGCTGACAGATTCTGGCACCTTAGCTTGCCTGCACACACACATGCAGATGGCTACTCCTGCCTCCCCTCTTGAAGGTGTATTTTCCCATATGTGGGTGGGGTTTCACCACTGTACCTGACCACACAGCGGTGGGAACAGCTCCTGGGGTTCCCCCACAAGGAGTACATGTACGGGGCCACCCAAAGCAACTGCAAAGCTTCCTCGTTCCAACCTGAACATCTACTTCTCCACAGATACTCCCTCCTGTCTGACTGAGGCAGGGGGACGCAATCATAAAGTTCACTCCGTGGTGTGTTGATATGAGCCTGGCAAACTGGTTGAGGCTTCAGCCATTTCTCTCAGACAACAGACACCTTCCAAGCAGCACTCCTGACAGCTTTCCATTTTTTAATGTATAGCCCATAGCATGATTTTGATGGGGAAACTCCTGTCTGTCCCCTCCTACTTCTGCACAGCTTAATGTGCAGCCTTGGCGCCACGTCACCCCAACTCTGGCATTTTAATGCAAGAGCAGCAAGAGATTTGGTGCACCAAGCATAGCCGATGCCGCACAGCACCTGGAGTTTACTGCTTCCTTTCCAAAGGAAGAGAAGAAAGCTGCTGTCTGGACATTTTGGCTTGCCCAGAGTGCTCTCCACCAGGGCCTGCTCAGCAATGCAGCTTGCCTCAGCTGACAAACTTGTGGAAAGCATCAGAAAATGTCAAAATTGCCTTCTGCTCCACAGCAGGTCTACCAGCGATTTGTTTCTCTCTAAGCCAGGTGGCTGCAGGTCACACTACTCTCTGCAGTTTTAACCATCATTTTTTCTCATTTTTTTAATTTGGTCCACAGTTCAGATGCATCCTCCATTTACAGGACGAGCAAACAGCACTGCCATGGTCACCATTTCTCCCTTGCACACCTACCTTCCCCCCAGCCCCAGGATGCTTAGAAATGTGTCCATTTCCTCCTTCCACCCCAAAAAGCTCTCTGTATTTTGCAAGAAGGGGAAGCTGTAGTCAAAAATGATTGTTGCTTCAGGAAAAAAGGAAAAGGCGGTGGGCTTTCCCCCTCCTACCACCACCACATCCAGCGGAGACAAAAGCTGAACCGTAAAAGTCAGGTCAGGGCGATGCCAGCCTGAGCAAGCAATCATGCCCCAGGGAAATGGGGTGCTTTGTGCATTTGGATAAAATAAATCCCTCTTACCTTCACTTAGCACTGCCTGTGCCACAGAGCTGCCTCTTCGGTTGCTTGCTGAAGCTCTCCCTCCTCCCCCCAAACACAACCCTTCATGCGGTACGGAAAACGGGGCTGCAGCGGGTTGTCACAGAGCTCAGGCCCTTTGCAGCAGGGGAAGCAGTAGCAGGGCCGTTTCAATGGGCAGCAGCTGAAAAAGAATTTTCTTTCCTGGGTCTGTAAGCAATTGCTGCTTTCCAGTCCATATTTTTCCATTTGGAAAAACCAGGTTTGGGACAGGCGCTACAATAGCAACCTGAAATCAAATTTAACAGTTAGGGCTTTGCGCACTGCAGGAGAACAGAAGTTCAAAGGGTGTGGGGGGAGAGTGCCTGTAGCCTGCCATTTGGAGGGATACATTAAAAAAAAAAAAAAAGCAATAAAAGATATAAACCCCCCCCGTCTTCTTGCAGGCACAGCCTCGAGCAAATTCACACAAAGCCACGAAGGAGAGGGAAATGCCTGCACTGATGTGTCTGTCCCCAGCCAAAAAACTACGCTTAGGGCAATATGCACAGACTAAAGGGAAGGGAACCAGAATGATGTAGCTGGACCCAAAACAAAGTTCTCAAAAAAAAAATAAAAAATTCCTCCATCAGTGAGCATCTGGGTTCCAGGTCCCGAAAAATCAAACACTGCAAACAAAATGTGATAAACAGGGACATCTGACATTTTACTCAACTGGACAGGACATTAAACGGGAGTTCAAATTTCAGGGAATGGCATTTAACCTGGATATCCTTCTGCCTGGAGGAATGCTTTTGAGATCATCTTCCCCCTCCTCTCCTGTTCCATCCCTGCCTCCATCACCAAAACTACCTTGCAAATTCAGGATGAGATGTCTACCCGCTAAACCTGGTAAGCAAACTGTCCAGCTACAAACTCTTTTAATTCTAGTTGTTGCTCTTTCTTCAGGGTAGAAAACAGCGAACCGTATCATTTCAGAGCACTGACACCAGCTGATAAAATAATCCTGACATTTGCTTGCTGCGGATTAAAGAAAGCCCTAGCAATTACTGAAAAACCTGCAAGTTTTGCTTCTGTTGATGACCACCTTTATTCCCCTATCACTGTGGTACACCAAAGTTAGCATCAGCTATAACATTTCCCATCCTCAATAACTAGCAAAAAGGTGTTGATCCAAAGGTGGCATCATGAACAGCCAATGAAAGGCATTTACTGTATCGACTGCTGCTGACATAAAGGCACACAGCCTCTTGTAGCAGGAAGAATTTATTGGACCTTGTTTGAGTTCCCAGCATCTGTTGAGGCTGTCGACACAGGGGCCAAAATTTGATGCAGTGAGGAGGATACCAGGCCATTTGGCACAGGAGACACCAAACAAAACATTACGTAGTTTTCAGAGTAATAATTTTTGGCCAGTAAGAACTACAGCTTGGCTTGAACTGGGAAAATACAAGTAGAAAGCCAACCAATAATTAGTTTGCTCATACACTGCTTACTTTCAGCTTTCCAGCCAATCTAGCCCATGAATTTCCCGAGTTTACTTTCACCTGACACATTAAAGTGCTCTATGAGCACTGATAAAAACTCTCATTCAGTCAATGTCCCCAAGCTAAACAGATGGAACTGGGAACAGTTAGTGAAATTTTCTTCTGCAGGGGAGCTGGTCTAGTCAAACTCAAGAGCAGAAGCAAGAGAGAGTACTTTCTAATAATGACACAACCCCTAATTGTATAGATCATCATTTCACCTCAGCTGCAAGAAGGCATGTCCACATGAGATGCTATTTGCATAAATTACACTTAGCCAGGCCAAGTCCTGCACCCGTTGCACTACATGACGGAGCTTAATGCCGACCTCAGTGAGCCAGAGGTGTGGTTCTCAATTGCGTGGGAGTTAAGACCAAACTCGCAGTCAAAAACCGGGCACAACGACAAGAAGAGCTGCCCAGCTTAAGAGTTGCCTAGCTGAAGCCCCTAGTCTGCAGATAATTCTCCTCCCTCATTCACTAACTGCCCACTCCTGAACACAAGACAAAACACTTTGACAGGAAGCTCCAGCAAGATTTTATTCCATGGTATACAACAGGGAGAAATTAAGATTATAGAAGAATTGTGTACATTACTGATGTTTTCAAGTTGCTAAAACAAACCCGAAGTGCCAAGAACAACTGAGGCTGACGACGTAACAAGAAGCGTGGTGACCATCACTCTAGTGTCCATACCTGCAAATACAGAACACGTTAATGCTTTTTTAAAAATTATGTTTCGTACTAGTGCTGATTTGGGCAGATTTATTCTCGTTCTACCACGATGTAGTTAACATGTAAGCCAGATGAAGGTGAAATGCTATGTTATGGAAACCTTAGGAAGTTGTCCACATTTCACTTCCCCCAAAAGTCTATCCAGACACTAGTTAGAAGAGAGCCTGTGCAACTCACAGTATCATATGCAAGAGACCCTCAGTATCATCTTTTGCCCTGAATCCCACTTCAAATATATCCTGCATGAAAACAAAGCCAAGGCTTGTCATAGACCCAGACGTATTACTGAGCACCCATAACAAGATACTCATTCATGTCTCCAATTTTCATCATGCCGCCCACGCAATCTTAAGTCACTACCCAGGCAACATGGGTTCGGTTTTCATTAAGTGTTCATTAAAACATCTTATTATCAAAACTATGGTACTCAAGTTGTCATGTCAATGCCAATTTGCACAACTGGTTGTGAACCAGATCCCAAAGACAACCCTGAACAGCTACAGTATCTGTTTTGTCTTGTTCTAATCTGGATGCTGGTTAGAATTAGTATTTTTGTGTTTTTGTTGAGAGGGAAAATCCACAGTTAAGAAAAGATTAATGGATAAATGGTGCAGAATGACACAAGTGAGAGGCAAACTTCCTAGCTATTCTCTGTACAACTGCCTCTCAAAATACAAGTCCCCCTCAAAAAGATCCCCATCCATAGATCTCCTAATACTATTCTAACAACAGACCTTCCAAAACCACAAAGCAAAACAAAGAAAACAGAAATTATGAATAAATTGAGCAAGGCTGTAGCAATGGCTACACGGACGTTTGATTTCCAGATTCTAGGAAATCAGCTGTATTAATCACTGAGCCTATTAGAGTTATAAAACAAATCAGATACAGAGGGACCCAATAAGACTTCTGGCACCTCAGCAGAAATGCTTTGGAACACAAGCAGCTAAATTCAGGTCATTTCTAAACCCAAATTGCTCATGCGGCAGTACAGTATTCATCTGAGGCTCCACTTCCAGTGAATTCCATTTCTCTTCTGCTCTCCATTCTTTAGAGAGAATGTCAATAGAAATCACCATTTTTTAACAACTCCCACTTACCCCGCAGCTATTTGGGCTTCCTTCAGAGCTCATTTAGCACCGAGTGACTAAGGAAAGGTCCCTGTACAGTAAGGTGGAGAAAAAAACCTTTCCCAACAGCAACTATGCCCTCAGACCCACAAATGAGAGAGACTACCCATATATCTGACATTTCTATTAACAGAAGGACAATTGGATTTTTCATCTTGAAACCTGTGCAGGATACCTACTTTTGGAACTCCCATTCCCTGTTGTCCAGCGGACATACTTGGCGAGTTTTGAGCCAGCGAGAGATGCAGTGGAAGTGGAAAGCATGCTGGAAGAGAAAGTTCAGATCACATCATTTCAGAACACGTGAACGTATCTCAATGTGAAAACTACCATTGAAGGCATCACTGTGAGAAGAGGGTAGCAAGTGTTTGCAGACAAAGGTGGGGAGGACTAATCAGCCATCTCACTGGTAAACACCAAGGAATTGATCCACATTTTCAGAGAGGAAAGGAACACCAGCGAAATGGCAGCAGGGAGCTGTTCCACAGTGCATGCAGTGGCAACCGACTGACTTCTGATGAACCAGAGAACGCAGAGTTTAGCAGCTGCTAAAATTGGCAGAGCAGATGCTGATAAGAAGCATAATCAGAAAGACAAGAAAGAGGATTTCACAGTGAGTAGCAGGGATGATAAGTATGTATATACACAGAAGCTTTCTGCCAGTCTTCTGGACAAACCAAAGCCTGAATAAAAGGAACATGCAAAATTAGAAAGAAAAAAAATATCTCTATTATGTGTTTAACAAGGACACCCTTTTCCATACCCCATACAGCTACTTAAAAACAAGGCTCTGCTCATGGTGACTCTTGCGCACAAAACCGTAATTTTGACACTAGAATATTCTGACACGGTTTAAAAAGTTGCTCTTGTCCCCTACAAACAGAATTGCAGTATTTATAATCCTGTTCCAGCATTATCACGCTGTAACTTGATCCCACAGCATAGTGAGGATGGGACTAAGGAATAGGTAGTTATTCCATTATGGAAAATTTTATCTTCCAACTCAGGCACAGGCCAGCCAAGAGGTATGCAAGTCTGAGTTCACATGCTAGTGGGTCCATGTACAAAGGAGTGCATACGGCAACAAATTGAAGAGCTGGAGATTATACACTAGAACTGATTTGATCTTCCTCCAAAAGGGGAAGCAAATCACCTCGTTACCCCATATTGACTCCTTGAATCAGCCTGCGCAAAGACAAATCAAGCATGCCGACATCCAAGTAATCCTATTACCAGGAAAAAAAAGGCATGGCTCCTAGGCAGAACCTTGATCAGGAAAATCATGCTCAGAATGAAAGATCTACTATTCTTTAAAAAAAAAAAAAAAAAAAGGAGGGGGGGGTGTTAAAGGCCTATCTTCCTCCCTTCTCTTCTGTTCTTCCATATTATGCCTCTCCAACTTTCACTCTCTCTATTTTTCTATTCTCTCTCTCCTTTCTACACTCTACTAAACATACGGTGTTTAAAGTTCTTTTTTTCTGGTGGATTATCTGAAACATTTTACAGAACTCGTTTTGTCCCGAGTCATGAAAAAAGGGGACAGCATCACCACACGAGCTCCGCAATAAAATAGTTCTCCTTACATTGCAGACGCCCCATGCAACTGTGCACTCTTCCGAGGTAGCTGATGCTTGGTTTGCTTGACATTCTATGCCTGTGAAAACAAAGATTAAACACATATATGCAGGAGGAGAAGATGTACATGCAACATCAACTGGTAGATTTCTTCCTAATAGCAAGTGAGGAGAAAAATACAAAAAGAACTCGTTGTTTTGTTGCATTTATTACATCAGAAAGTGTCAAAAGCTGTGGTTTAATGTGTACTGTTTTCCCAAAAGTATCAGATCAAAATATACTTCATCCTGCTTTCCTCCCTCCTCTACTTTTTTAGTATTCCAAACTTCCAGAGGGCAAGAGTACATAGCTCCTCTACTGATAACATGTGCCTGCTTTCCAAATTTTAAGAATATTTTTAATTTTTTCCTCTTGTGTTTTAGGAGATGTCTTCTGATGATCAGTTGAAGGTACATTTACTTAAACCTCCTACTCAGGTTTCTCTAAATATAAATTCACTGTCTTGTCAGACATTATGCACTATCAGTTATATTTACAAATTAATTTGCTCACATAATGCTGGAGTTTGCCCATCTTTTTTCTGTAGTCTTGTGTCAGATAAGTACATCCCAAAAACACACAATAGGAAACACAGTTTAAAAATGTATGGTTTTAATTTTTTATACCTTGGAGCTGAGCACCCAGGATGACCCCAAAAAGGCTAAAGACTATTTACGGGCTTGGGTTATGTTTTCCTTTTTGTGTCAGATGGCATGGATGAAGGAGACGTGAGACAGTGAGGAAAGAAGGAAGAACAGCACTGAGAAAATAAATCCAGCAACCTGCTTCTCCATTCTAGAGCCTGAACAATTCACTTCTGCTCCAGCTCATGAAGAAACCTCAGGAGAAAAAAAAAAAAAAAAAGATATTTCCAACCCCTCCACAGTCAGCAGCACAAACTTAGGAGACCAACATTTGACTTCCTGCTAAAAGATGCCTTCTTTAAAAGTCAAGCCCAAATGATTCAAAAACACAGGCTGATGGATGATCAGCTTAGAACTCAATGCATGGGCTTGTTGCTCGCTTGTTTCGCAGATCTTTTTTTTTCTGGCAAAGAAAATGTCTGAATGAGCTCCAATTCTCCATTCACTGTTTGTGTGCCCAAATACGTTCAGAGGAAAAGGAACTTGATTCACCAATTAAAGACTCAAAAACTTCCAAACCACACAGGTTTGGGTGAAAAATGTGATCTTTATTTGCTCTGTCCTATTCATCCCTTTCTCCATTTTTCACTCTCTTTCAGGTGTGAAGATGAACAAAGTAAGAGAAAGGCCGATTTTTCCCGAGATGTGAGACACAACAGTTAACCTTGGCCAAGAGGAGCTACTCAAAACAAGACTGAGGTCTAAAGAAACTCAGTAGCAACAACTGTTCTGCAAGATTTGAATGCACCTGTATTTACTACATGGCTTACATCAAGATATGACATATCACGGCAGGAAGTCCAAAGCTCAATCCCTGGCCTGCCTACAGAAGAGAACAAAATCCAGTGCACCTGAAATGTCTGATGTCTTAATTCCTTAAGCCCTCCATACACACAGTAATGGAACGAAATCTGATTAAGAAAATGGAAGATGCTCAAGAACCTTGAAGAGCTTCAATTACTTTAGACATTTGTTTAACATTCGACACCCAAGATTGCTGTAACAATTTTACTGTTACTGCAGTATAGACTCATAGTCTCGCTGAGTATGACGGGGCATACTATATTAAGTTTTAAATATTTGGCATGAGTCTGTACAGTAACAGAAAATGGGAAGAAGATGAGTAGTAGGAAAAGGAGAGGAAATTCATTTGAAGGAAGAAAAGTCAACTGGTAAGCAAACTTTAACTCTGGAAGTCTCTGCTGAAAGCAAGGAAAATATTCCAGCACTGAATATACTTTTATTGTTTCTTCTCCCCCTTCCCTGCTGGAAACAGGATATTGGGCATATTAGGTCAGAAGTCCACCTAGCCTATTTCTACGTAATTTTGTCTTGTTTTGATTTTTGCCTCTCTAAGTGGCCCTAACCAGTGAGCTGCGTGCTTTGGAACACAATACCATTTCTTTTTTCTTTTTTTCAGGCTTTAAAGGACTCTGTATTTTGATTAAGAGTGAGAGGGAAGAAAGTTGGTTTAGGTAAGGAAGCAAAACTGCACTGAAATTCATTTTAGTGTTACTCGAACATTTGCTGGCAAGCAAATAACAGTCTAAAACACGACAGTCCCAAAAGCTTAAGGAGACAACAGATGAACTTTTGCAGAAATAGCCAAGGAGGAGTTCTGTGGTGGTGATGTAAGGCCCTTCCACCAAGACACTCAGATTTAACTCCCTCATTAAACAAGCTGGAGACTATGACTGGCACTACTAACTTTGGCTGCCAAAAAAGGGCCTCCTAAAAGCTGAAGCACTTTTTGGTCTCCTACTTGCTTCATTTCAGAAAAGGACAATGTATCAACAAAGAAATAAAACAAATGAACAATCTCTGTCCGAGAATGAAAGCTGATGATTCTGGCTCTTGAAAGAGAAGCTATTTACCAACTGCTGACCCAAAAGAAGTGGTAAGAGTTGGACAGTAACAGGTACTGGAGGAATACTGAACAACTCTTCTGTTGCCTTGCTTTCGACAGAGTATCTGGAAGTGAGGGCAGAAAGATACAGCTAAAACCTGAAATATCCGTAAATAATTGTAAAAGATGCAATGGAAACATTTCAACTCAGGGAGCTACAGAAATGGCTCTTATATAATGGCAACTTCTGAATCTTGGCATCTGTTAAGACTCATCCCTCTTCCTATACATTTTCTATTGCAGGAATCTTCTGTATATCTACCCAACAAGAAAAGCAACCCAAGATTTAGGTAGCCATAACGACAGGTAACAGAAGTAAAGTACATGTCTTTTGTTCGCAGCTACAGTAACAGCCCACTGCACTGGTAAATTTGATGATAAGAGCTCTTCAAAGCGGCTTCCGCTTCAGCAAGGGTAACCACTGTAGGGGTTCCCCTTTCTCTTTACATGCTGCCTTCTAAAATTGTCATAAAGGCATTGGCTTATTCAGAAGAAGAGGCATAAATACTCATAGCTTGGCTAACACACCATGTACTCGCTCAGAAAACAGACAGAAAACCCAAATAACCAGGCTAATAAACTCGAAGTACACTTGTTACTTGTCCTATGAGGAGCTGTTGAGGGCTTTGGGTCTGTCTAGTTCGGAGCAAAGGAGGCTGAGGGGTGTCCTCATCACTCTCTACAGCTTCCTGAGGAGGGAAAGTGGGGAGGGAGGTGCTTGAGCTCTTCTCCCTGGTATCCAGTGACAGGATGCATGGGAACAGTTCAACGCTGCGCCAGGGGAGGTTCAGACTGGACATTAGGAAGCATTTCTTTACTGAGAGCTTAGTCCAACACTGGAACAGGCTTCCTAGAGGGGTGGTCGATGCCCCAAGCCCCCAAGTGTTTAAGAGGCTTTTGGACAACACTCTTAACATGCTTTAACTTTTGGTCGGCCCTGAATTGGTCAGGCAGTTGGACTAGATGATCACCGTAGGTCCCTTCAAACTGAAATATTCTAGTCTAGTCTATTCCCCCAAAATGCATAATGAGCTCTTCAATTAAGTTTTCAAACTTCAGAGGAACTTGAGAATTTTCCTGTTCCAATTCTCTCCAGTATCTTAGGAATTATCTGCAGATTTTACTAAATACTTACCCTAAGTTCCCACCATCATATCATCATATGATTCCTTCTACTTATAACCCCTTTGTATGACACTCAGTGTTTCCTGTCAGTACCACACTCTCAAAATATATGTACACAGCTATCATCTTCCACTCCTACTTACGACTTAGCAAACTATACATACTTAGTCCTGTTTGTTTATTCTTCTCCTAAATCCAAAATCTTTCAATCTGTTAAGCATCCTGAGATTCTTCTTTGGACTCTATGCAATATATCTGTTTTTGTGAAGATGGAACAGCAAATGTGGTACTTTGCATCTTACTATCAAAGAAAGGGGACAGTATTTTGATGGCACATTTTACACAGTTCAAAACTATACCTTGCTACAATATTACATTCCACATTTTAGACCAGAAGGTAATCCACTACACTAAACGCAGTGTTTAGTTAACACTCCCCAACTTACCATGTTGCAATGAGAGCACTGGAGAGCAAGGCTTTGAAGAAATCAAGAACACTGCTCAAGAAAAATCTAAATAGGACGTGGGTCTTTCCAGAGAACAACGAAACCAAAACACTAAAAATCTGCCCTGTAGATCTACTTCTGTACACTGAATACAAACCAAACAGAGGGCAGGAGGAATCCTTTGACCATATTATTACCAAGTCATAATGTACATTCATGAGGAGAACTGCATGACACCTTAACATTGATGCCTGACCTTATAATGTTAATGTTTATAATGTTAATAATGTTAATCTTCCATTAGTATGGCTGGCGTTACTTAACTTTCAAGGTTTCTCTTCATCACTAGGAGAGGGAGACATTTGTATCCTGCATTTTATCAAATTACATCTTGTGGTGTTCTTCCCTGCACATTCTATTAATTTTTCCTCAATTTCCCATCACTTCACATCTTATGTTTGAAAATCTAATTAAAGTGTTGTTTAACAACATTAATGATCTGTAACAAGGAAGTAAGTAAATCCAGAGCCAACACTGATCTCGGAACACCAATTTAGGCACCCCTTCTACTCTGTATACTGTCAATATTGGTTTGTCATTTGCAGTCCAGGCTTTTCATAACATTGTTCATACCCAAATAACATCTTACCCTTGAGCAACTCAAAAAAGAAAACAAAAAGGTTACCTATGCCCTTTCCCTTCACTGTTTTTCCTAATCTACCTATACACTCTCAGCCCCACCCTCATTTTGATAGGATTTATTTTTTAAAGAACTGACACACAAATTTCATTGGAAAATAACATCTGTCCACTCTCCTATCTCTCCATGCTCCTCTACACCTCTCCTTCATCCTCATACATCCTATTTACTATTTATGAAAAATAGCAAATATATGAGACTGTATTTGGTCTCTCATGGGAGGCACCATTAATTTGAGGCAGGTTTCACAGAACGAAACACATCAAGATAATTATTCACGATAAGTGGGATATGTTGTAAGATAGTGGATGCTGATTTACAGGATTTTATACATTTATTCTATACATGTGTAAATTCTATAAAAGTAACTTATGTTCTAAAAAATCTTTAAAATTCCATTTGCCTGTCAGCGACATGCTTTCCTCTCTAATGCATCATAAAGCTGAGAGACTAAATAGTAGTCCAGTGTCCACCTCGACTACTTTTCAAGATGGTACAGGTTAGAAGTACTTAAAAAGGAAATCTTTACGTCAAAGGACCTCAGCATATTTCATAACCCCTATTCTCATTTGCTTCTCTTTAGTGTTATAATTCCCTTTCTAACAACCAAGAATAAACTGAGGCATGGATAGGCAGCAGGTGGCTCAAAATACAAATGTATCTGTCTGAAAGCAAAGAAGTGAACTTGCTTAATCTGTTTTCAGCCCTGTGTGTTACAGTGTGTTTGCTCTTTATCTAAAAAAAAAAACACTTCTGAAAGTAGTTTTGTAATTGTTATTTAAATGTGATGTAAAATCAGGGGCATCTCTCACTAGCTGTTACTATAAATTTGAGGTCACATTTTTCTGAAATGTTTTATTTTCACATAAGCTTCCTGACAGCAAGTTACCATTACCAGTAGTTCCAAGGGCGACTGCATAAAACCAAAGTGCAACGGAACTATCACAATGGGATCACGACAGGCCATTCCCAGTCACTGCAGCTGTGCCAGCTCTTATTTTGGGGGAGTTCCCCAATCCTCACATTTTACTAAGATAGGCAAATTTCTGTCTGGGGTATATTAAAAGTCTTCTGTCCCTCATGACCGAAACAAGATGGACAGTTATAGTGGCAACAGTATCTTGTCAGTTTTGAGGGAGAAAAGGTTTTGTACTTATTACCAATCCTTTAAGGGACTAAAACCAGTGACTTCATGCATGCACACCTATTTCATTATAGAAATTTGTATACTTAATTCCATTATCACTTCATTTTCCTACATAGCAAGCATATTTGTTAATTGAACCATCAAGATTATACAGCAAAAAAACAAACTAATACTAGTAATACATTGTTTTTGATTTAGGCATTAGATTACTTTCCTTTGTAAACGAACAACTAATTCTCTAGGTGGCTACAAAATTCCCCATACTATAATACCAACTAACTTACTTATGCAAGGTACTTTTAGTAGAATGAGGCGTCAAATGAAGTCACTGGTCCAAGCCTTTCTTGGCAAGACAGAAAGTGTGACAAGATTTCATCCTAATGTGTGTAATCAAAAAGTTGATACCCATAGATCTAAAATCTATTACTTCTTTTTGTGAGCAATACCTGCCAACCCTGAACAATTTCAGTTCCTCCTGGCTCTTTAATATGGCTCCTTTTCCTCTTTGTGGCATCCAAAATACAATCAGCAACATCATCTTATGTGTAGATGTGGTACCAAGTGATTCTACTCTTTACGAGAAAAGGGTAAGGGAAAAGCAGTAAGGTAACAGAGGTCACAAATATAGATTATAGCAGTTCAGCATTACATAAAATAGAGCTTAGTATTTGCACTGTGAAGACTTAGTTCCTAACTGAAAGCTGCATTTGCTGAATTATACCCTCAATGGGGGAAATTTCAGCGGTGCATCACATACAAGTCAAAACTGTCAACTGTCTTCCCCACCATTTACTTACATAGATCCATAATATGGTTTCTGCAAATGGCACAGTTATCAACCACAATGTCCCATGCCCACAGAGCTACTGCGTTCCACTAGAGAGAGGGGGGAAAAAAGAAAAAGAAAAACATAGTTTTGACTCAATTTATAGCACACAGAAGTCCTTGTTATTCCTCAAGACACCACATATTTTTTTAAATGGAACAGCTGAGATATTTTTTAAAAACATCTTGGATGTCCAAAGCAATTCTTTATCATGAGTTCAGAAGCTTACTAGAAAGCAGTGGCACATTCTTCTCACATACCTCCCAGACCCAATGTCTCCTTCCAACTTCAGAAACAAGGTAACTCCCATAGTCCCCTTTTTTGTGTAACAAATGAAAACATCTGCATTTCTATTCAAGATCCAGAGGCAAGGATGCAGCTCACATCCTCAATTCTGATGGAAAGGACAGTGCCCTGGAGAAAGGCCAATCCAGATGCCATTTTGTTAAGAGGAATTTCCATTAGTGAAGCAGTTCTTCTAGTAATCACCCCCCAAAGCAGCTGGGGTCAAAAACTAAAATCATCTCTAATGACCCCCTTGGCTGACTCCTGAACAATCTCCTCTGCAAAAAGGTTACCAGGCAATGACCTACCAGCAAGACTGTTTGAAATTTGAAAGTACTACCAAATTAATCTTTCAAAGACAAGGAATATCTCTGTCCCATGCTACCTCAGGGGAAGGGTTGGCTACAAATTTCCATGGCAATTTCAGAAAACGGATTCAGAATGAGGACTTTAAGTTAAGCTATGCAGAAAAACATAGTGCCTTTTTATTCCTCCCCACAAAAAAACATAAACAGTTCTTTTGTAAATTCACGGACTACGTGGGCTTGTCTTCAATATTCAAAGCAATCCAAAATCTACATTTACTACATAAGTAGTCCAGATACTTTGTTTCCCTCCATTTTTTCATATTTGATTGTATTGACCGTACTACAATAAATCTTCCCTGTTCCATTTACGTCTCAATGTTTCCATTGCTTCCCCTCAGTTCAGGATTCTGGAGGAGGAAAGCAGACTGCCAAATATTGATAAGCACTTCAATTTTTCAATAGTACTGGTATAAAAAGTCACCACAATACTACCAGATCTTTTAGGAAATGGGTTGGTAGCAATCTCATTTTTTCTCACCATCTTCCAACTTCAAGCCTAGCCAGCCTTCTGGACGAGGTACTCATCTCACAAGGACTTCATCCACACTTCAAGGCAATTAGGATAAAACTTCCCAGCACTTTACCTCTCCTACACTCTCAGGTACTTAATCTCTTGTCCCACCATAAGCTACTCTTACAACCCATGGACCTGTACTGAGCCACACATGCAACAAATGCGCCTTTGTACCTTGCTGGGGAGAAGGAATGCCAGTGACACATAAAAGATGCCGCCTCCTTCTCCTCTCACGTGCTATTATATCTGTCCCTGTTTCCAAAGAACAAGCAATCACGTCATCCAAACACCTTCTTCTGCACAGACCTGCAGCCTTGTCCAGAGCTAGGGGTTTCCATCATCACTGATAACAGCTGCATTTCAAACAAACAACACCTACAAGCAAGAACCACTGGAAATGTTTGCCGATATTCAGTCCGGGGATCATTTTTCCTCAAATTCTACCTTAGTACAAGCCCCCACAGCCTCCCTACTTCCGCTGCACCCTCCTGTAACAGGCTCGGACTATTGCCACCATCCAGCTGGCAGACAAACTGGCGGCACTGGACAGAAAAGCAATAGTACGGCTGGTTTGGGGAAGCAGACAAAGCCAGGGTGACAGGAGAGCATTTCCTGATTACACACACGTTGTTACGGCTTGATTTAAAGAAAACGAAAAAAAATCATTGCCCAGCCACACAAATTTGCGCAAAGCGTCTTACGCAGCACACGGGGCAGCTCGGGCGGCTGGGCCAGGGCGGCCGGGGCCGAGAAGGAGGCGGCACTCCACCCCCGCTCCTCGGCCCCAGCTGCCCAGAGGCT